TTGCAGATGTTCCTGTGGATTGGACAGAATGCCGAACTTTTCATGGCAAACTACACTGTGATTGGCAACACGCAGGAAAGCGCGGTTGCCGCCCAACAAGAACACGAACAGTTCAACAGAATTGCCAGGGTAGGCAATGAGGACAACGAGTTCGTTATGTCGTCGTATTCTAAACCGCGTTTGTTTTCTAGAATACTTATGTAAATATAAACCATATAATGTCTGTTGCTCAGCGGCTTTTGGAAGTCGGTCATTACGCATCGGTCGAAATTCGTTCAGTGGCCACGTGTCTGGAGAACGACTGGAAATTGTTCATCAACGCGCTCGATCTGCGTTCGTCCTTGCTTAGTCTGTCGGTTCAATTTCATTACCGTGCGGGTCAGGTAAGTGACGGCTGGCAATTTGCCGGACGTTGGTCAAACATAATTCTCTTGCGCTATCTTTCACACGTTTTAGTATCTTTCAAACGTCAAGGAGTGGACAGAAAAGTTCCGAGGCCCGCCCGAACTGCCGTGTGGAGTGAGTGCGTTAGAGACGGCGATCAAAGAGCACCAACAGTTGATGGACACCGTTACGCAGTTTTACAGCTCGGTACGTTTTTGTCTACTACAGTCGAAACTGGTCATTTTTCGACATTCAAGGACTAAATGCAAAATATTTTAAAAATATTTTAGATGTAAATTAAACAGCAAATAAAGACATAGACGAGTTATCGTAAAATGTGATATCAAATCTGATCGAAGTAAAATTGTCTTCAAATTGAAGAGAGCATCTTACGTCTAGATTAGTGCAAAAATATAAATATCAACGTGATCACGTTTTCAGCTGCCTACTTAGTGCAGGGCGTAAGACAATCATAAAAAGAACATGAACAAATAAGCGACGCGTTCACTCACTTCTTTAACCGATGATGAAAACGATGTCTTTCCAGCGCTTTGGCCCCAGCTCAAGTGTGTCCTGTACCGAAAAGTAACAACCCTGTTGTACTACAGAACTTTATCCGTTTACTATCACTGCAGTGCTTTTGAAGCGGCTCGAACGTATATGGTTGCACTTTCAGTGAAACACGGATAGCATCTTCTTGCCTAACCCCAAGTGTTTATCGGTCAAATATACACTGGGCAAAATTTAGAGGGCACGCCCTTACCCCAATCGCCCACCCTACCCACACCCACACTGATGCTCCATCTTTCTGCCATTTCCTAACTTTAAATTACAAAATCGTTTATCAGACGTTCCGTGTACATTATTAACAGTTTACTTGTTTATTCTGCGTATAAATATTTTTTCCAATAGATGTGACGTTTTCTACAGCTAGGCAGATTTTTCAGACTTTAATACGGGCTTGCTTTGCCTGGCTGGGTTTAACATCTTAGTTGCTCGTCCTTTGCTCCTAGTTGCTTAGAGACATTTAAATAAGTCACTGCTCCATTGTGACTTTTCAGTTGCACTGGATGAGAGTCAGCCACCGCTTTTAGTTAGAAGAATATTTTGCTTCATCTTTCTTGTATTTCAGAAATTGGTCTTCTTACATGTTTTTGCAAAATGTTATAAATGTTGTTTCGCACAGCAAAATAACTTCAACTTTGTTAGAGGAGAACTAAATCTAATTTAGACATCGGTCACAGGGTTAAAAATATGAAGTACCTTGGTGTGATCACTGATGACAAGTTAACATGATCTGAGCACATGGTTTGCGTCTTCAACAAGGTGAGCGAAGTCAGTTTTTGTCTTCACCATTTGCCCTTGCTTGGAGTTCTTTTTGAATTGGACTGACGATTTAATGCCAGTTATCATTTATGCTTCTGCAGTCTGTTTTTGAGCCTTAACTCTAGGTTATTTTCACTTTTACCGCGATGCATAAGGGCAGTCACGATATCTGGAGGACTGCAATACGGTTTAATGGTTAAGACATTGTGCAGACTGTTTATGACAGTTCTGTCTCCTTCGCTGAGCGGATTTTGCAAGACGCCACCCTTCTCCGTCACACAGATTTTGCAGCCTGGTATTCTCAGAGTACATGTACTTATGCATGCTGAACAGTGAGAACGAAGCTGTATATAAAATTAGCAGTGCCACATTTAATTCGTTGTTTGATGAATCCTCCTGCATTAAAGCTTCTCTTGCTGACTAAGTCTTCTCTTGCTTTCTAAAGGTATTACGTAGCAACTGTCTTGCTGTTGTACGCGGAACACATGCTAATGCAAGACACAGAAAGGTGCATCCTCTACATATAACATCAATACAATGTAGAATACTTAAATATCAACCAAAAGTGAAAATGAACTATTTAAAGTATTAATCGATTTTTCTGTTTCAATTTCTGAGGATTCCCTAACATGATGTGTTGCTTAAAGCCTCAAAATATCATGTCACTGGCATGCCTTGTGTTCTTAACTCATATTGCTGAGAACGAGTGGAGCTAAAAATTAATCTGCAAAGCCAAATTGTAACATGTTTTTTACAGCGATCACAACGTGCTTACAGCAGTAAGTAGATGAGTCGATGAAGCGCATAATTTGGAAACTTTATCATAAACTTTGTTCGGAATTATTCACAAACAAATCATTGAGATTTATTGATGTATCTAGAATATGAGGAGTATCAGCTCCTGAAGCATCGTTCGTGATTAGGGTGAGGTAGCTCTTGTGAATAAGATGATGTGAGGTTCATCAGGCACTGTATGTGCTCAAATATGATGGACTCGGCCTGCTCAAATGGCCCCTATGGACAACTAGGAGCTGAGAGCTGGAAATACACCATTAAATCGAGTTATTGAGGAGTTATGCGCGTTAACCAAATAAGTTAATTATATAAGCATGGGTAAGCACGGGATAATTATTACGAATTATAAATTATCAAAATTTTCGAATTATCTAGGTACTTTTTTAAAATGAAATTTATGTATTTGATCTGAGGCAAAATAAAATACGGAACTCTGCAGAAATGTCGAACTAACCAAATTTTACTTATTTCGTTTATCAGCCATCATGATCAGAAATCACACCGTTCTAATAGAGGGATTTCCGCTTCTCCACGTAATAGATGATGACCTAGTTAAAATAGTTCGTTAAATATTTCTTGATTAATAAGAATTATACTTCTTTAACAACAGTCGATCCTCACCGGTGTGACGTCTATACGCTCATAAGGATGTTTTCACGATCGATACCTATTCTACAACTTACAAGTTTCCGTTGCCTAACCGCGTTTCCTCATTTTCCCAACAGGTGTAAAGTTTCGTAGTAGTTTAGAACCTGCAAGCACTCAGCATTGATGCTATACTTGACGCAGAACTTCATATTTAAAATAGAAACTTGGCATGTCCTTTAAAATCACATTGTAGCAGATATCGCAATAGTCGTCACTAGAAAAATATCGTATGTCGCCGGCACGAAAAAAAAGTTCTCAATGTTTAGTTAGGTATTAATATTGACTACTATCTTGACTGTTCCACAAGGCACCGGGTGCAAGTCCTCAATTGAACCAGTAGTTACAGAATGATTACAGTTTCATTTGACGCATTTCCGAATGACCGTTTGTTTCATTTCAGGTGATCAGAGACGGCAAGTCGCTGTTGCACAAGCTGAAATCTCCACCGTCCTTAAAGATTCACCATTCTGACACTATGCCGACGCCAAATCAGTTTCCGGACTATACTTCCAGCGCCAAGCATATTTTAGACGTTATTCAGCAGCTGGTATTGTGCCAGAGGCAACTTGAGCAGGACTGGCAACAGCGACGAATACGACTGCATCAGAAATTGGCTTTGATTTTATTCCAGATGGACGTTAAACAGGTATGTTCGTTGTGAAGAGGTTATGCCGTGTGTATTTCGTTTGTATCCTGTTTCTTATTTTTTACACAAGCATACAAACCTAGTAATGTGGCTTTTACTTTTGCTCTAAACACTGCGAATCGAACTCTTTGAAACGGTGGACTGTGGATGGTGCCGTAGTTTGTGGTTTGCTTGTCAGCATAAAGGTGAGAAAATCTATCAGCTCAGCTTGCATTTCGACTCGTGACGAGATTAAGGTAGAGAAAAGAATATTTCGTGAACTAGTAATGCTAGGAGTATAAGATTTGCTTTCGGAGAGGAACTCTCGCTTCTGCGATGCACAAAGTTTGCTCTATAGCAAAAGATTTGTCTGCG